GCAAGTGTTTAGCCATTGTTTTACCCTTTCCACTGTTACAATCATCATTGTCTCCTTTCTTTAGTTTATTGAACAAGTGATGTTTCAGCCTATTATGTCCTGTGCGGAGTCTAAAAATCACTACTTGTTCTCTTCGGCCAAGTTGGTAGTATGCGTCATCCTTCTTGTAGCCTGGATGTTCAGAATCCCATTTGATTCTATATGTGCTTCTTATAAACCTCTTAGCCTCATCATATGTTATGTCTATATCAGGCTGTGGTAGTCTTCCACCTTCCTTTGCCAATCTGTCAGCCTCTTCATTTCCAGTTATGTTGCAATGGGATGGAATCCATTGTATTATGACTCTTTTTGATTTCTGACTCAGTCCATGGAGTGCAGCTCTAAGGTCTGCTATTTCTGTATCATTTTTGCTCTTCAGTGCTGAGACAACTGACTTTGCGTCTGTGAAGATAGCTATGTATTCCTCTTTTTTTTTCTATAACAGAAGCATTTCTGCTGCAATTCTCAGGGCCTCTGCCATTGCTCTAAAATTACTTGAGAACTTACCGGTTGCAATCGACTGTGTTTTCTTTGATCCATTTTTTTAGATTGAGGACGATTCCCCCACCTCCATTTTCTGTTGAATTTTTTGCTGATCCGTCTGTATAGGCATGAGTCCAGGTGTTACTTGGGTATTGTTCTTCTAAGTAGCTTAATGTGATTTTCCTTCTTTCTGTTTCATTCTGAGTGTTCTTTTTCTCAATACCAGGAATATTTTCTATCAATTCAGGCAGATGCTGCTGTCTCCAAGCAGGGAGCGTATATGCAATGTGGACGGGTTTGGATACTGATAAGTTAAGTACAGGGTCTTCCCTGATTTTAGTTTTTGCAGTCTCTGCAAAGTTTTTTCGCTTTAGTCTTCCCCTTCCCAGATGATTAAACCTTTGATACATGGGGTGATCTGTCAGCCTTCTAAATTTTTCTGCTTGTTGCTGGGCTCTGCTGTCTCTCCTATCCTCCATTGGTTGCACACCTGTGACCTTTTCTAGTTCATTAATAGGCATTGTTTTCATGGCCCCAGTTATAATCCACATTCCTTGATTTTGGACTCTACTTATTTTGATAAAGTTTGACTTTGCTACTGTTGCCCAAGCTGCAATACCATATTCAAGGACTGGCCTTACTCGTCCAGTGTATAGTTTCTTGAGAACTTTCTCATCAGCTCCCCATGTTGTGCCAGTAAGTTTTTTCATTATTGCCATTCTTTGCCTTGCTCTTGTTCGACTTGATTCTACCTGTGTCTTCCATGTCAGTCGGCAATCAAATGTGACACCTAGGTATTTTGGATTGTTCTCTTGGAGCAGTATTTTTCCATCTACCTCTAGCTTAACTGGCTGTTTTTTATTTGAGAGGGAGAACATAGTGCATGTTGTTTTCTCTTCACTGATATTCACTAGCCATGTTTTTGACCATTCCTCTAACACTGACATATTTTATATGACGGCCAGTGAAATTTTCGCACATCTAGTAGAAGTGGCCATCAGAACTAAAATAAAAAAAAATAAAAATGTGAAAGCTGAGGGATTTGATAATATCCCAGCTGAGATCTTTAGGGCGGGGGTAGAGGACGTCATTAAAATCCTCACTGAAACCTGTAACACAATTTAGGAGTGAATGGCCATCTTTTTGGACCAAATCACTCATTATTACAATTCCCGAAAGAGGAATTTACAAAATTCTCAAAATTGTAGGACTATAAGTCTCATCAGTCATCCCAGTAAAGTCATGCTCAAGATACTCCTAAACAGCTTAAAACCATACACAGAAAAGATCAAAGCAGAGAAACAGGCGGGTTTCCGTGATAAAAGAAGCACCGTTGAACAGATATTTAATCTACGTATATTATCTGAGCAATACCACCAGCACCAAAAACATCTATACCATGTGTTCATTGATTTCAAAAAGGCCTTAAATAGAGTATGGTATGCAGCACTCTAGGACACTATGAAAAAGTACAACATGGGTAAAACCCTCATACGTACTATAGTACATCTCTATGGCAAGGCCAGCAGTGCTGTCACGTTGAATGGACAAATAGAAAGCTGGTTCCGAATAACAGTAGGAGTCCGGCAGGGCTGCCTCCTCTCTCCAGCACTGTTTAACATCTTTTTAGAAAGAATGATGACTGATGCCCTAGAACAACATCATGGAACAGTTGGTAGCGGAGGTCGAAATATAACAAACTTAAGGTTTGCAGATGACATTGATGGGTTGGTTGGAGAAGAACAAGAACTTGTTGAGCTTGTAAATTTACTCTATAAAACATCAGCCAAGTATGGCATGGAAATAAATGCAGAGAAAAAAAAAGTATTGACTAATAATATAGATGGCAGAATTTCAACAGAATTTCTACGTTAAAGGCCACAAATTAGAACAAGTGACTCATTTCGGATATTTAGGATCCATTTTAAGTGGCTTGGGGTCAAGACCAGTAATTATGCATAGGATTGCCTAGACAATATCAGTCCTTGCCAAGCAGCAAACATTGTGGAAATCTAGAAACATTTCATGCAAGACTAAGATTCAATAGCTCAGAGCACTAGCTATTAGTACATTTACACATGGCTGTGAAACGTGGACCTTACCAGTTGAACTTGAAAGAAAGATACAAGCATTAGAAATTCGATGTTTCAAAAACAATTCTTGACATATTATACAGAGTCTATATTACAAACGAGGAAGTTCGCCATAAAATTATACAGCACATTGGAAACTATGAACCTCTTTTAACTACAGTTAAAAGACGAAAATGCAATGGTATGGACATGTAATAAGATCTAACGGTCTCTCAAAAACAATACTGCAGGGCTCAGTAGAGGGAAAGAGAAGAGGCAGAATAAGAAAGACTTGGTTACAGAACCTGACTGACTGGACAGGCCTCAGGCATGCAACCATGAAGTCCATCGCAACTGACCGCCAAAGGTGGAGAGAGCTAATCAGACAGTCAACAGAAACTGGTGACGCACCGACTTGTAGTAATGATGATGAATAATTTTTCGTGTGTATAGCCATCTTGTCGTGACTGACTATTTCTGTTATTATGAGAAGAAAAGGGCCATCCAGGCTATTAGAAGTGAACAGAGTCTGGCCAGAGATGACTACCACTTACTTGACCGGCATGGGCAGGTCATTGTCCTACGTCTCAGGACAGGACATAACAAACTTAGCCAGCATATGCACAGGCTTCGTCTAAGTAGTTCACCTTTTTGCCCTTGTGGGCTATGTGTGCAGACTACAGAACATGTCCTGCAAGACTGTCCCTTGTTCATCCCATTAAGAAAGGAATACTGGCCCAGTGAGTCACCACTGTACACAAAGTTGTATGGGACTAAAAAGGAACTCATAAAAACAGTCAAGTTTATCACAAGAACCTGTCTGTCGGTGTAAATCAGAAAGCTAACACAAGAAGAAGGAAAACTACTTCTGTCAACGACAAACTGCATTTCAGGTGGCTACTGTTGGCTTTGGTGCCACTAGCAACTGCCTTTTTCGTATACTGCTTGCGCATATTTCTGGATCGTGATGGGACTTATTGTTTATTCACAAGTTTTTCAAATGGGATAGCGAGGGACATTTAATTATTTTTTTTTAATAGCACAGAAACGGAGCATGCCTAGTATCGCCTTTTAGCGTCCGATTTTGAAGAGACGTCGGATATTAAACCTATCCATCGCTTGTGTGTTTAGTCCCTAGTCTGCATCCATTGTCCCGAAACGCCACTGGCGTAAAGAAAAGGTACTTTACCTTTTAAATCAATATCATCATGCACCGTTTTGCAGTCTCATTTTACTTTCTTCCCTCTCTTTCTTAAGACTTGGATTTGGCTCTAACTATGGCACGCAACAGTCTCATGCAATTGTCATGGAGCTAGCACTAGATCCACGACCTGTTCTGAGAAATCGACTAATTGATTCAACAATTATTTATTCTGTATTGGGTCCAATATTTATTTCTGGAAAACATGACGGTGTCCTAATTCCTTTAATGCACCTTAGTCCTCGTCACAAAATCACGTGGCCTAGATAAAGTTACACAAGACCCGCATCTTTTGGTAATTCCGTCACGAACTTTCAACAGCCTTTACGACAAAGCGATGTTACAATATTTGAAATGCGCATATGTCCGCCAATCAACGCCTGTTTGTTTTCATATTAATTAAAAAGCGTGGATCATTACGTGAGGCTATGACAACAACTATGGGGGCAGACAAAATCTGTATTTAATCCGTAAGATTGAACATTAATTAGACTAATGTGCTTCAACTAAAAATATAGCAAAGAGGCGATGAAAGCAGACTTTGAAGTTGTGAATTGTTGAGCTAATTAGACGAATAGATAAATTCAAGTTGCATTTGTTCCATTATACCAGGATAAGTGAATATAGGACATGTTAAAACAGTTGCATTACTTAGTTATCTGTTGCATGTTATTTTTAAGACTGCAAATTAGTTTCGCATTTGATGGCTGCAGTGTCGTTTTACTAAGAAGTTTTTACTTGCTGTTGTTTACTATTACCTCCTAAACAGTTCGATGCTCAAACGGTTGCCATAATCAAAACAGTCTACTTCCAAATCACATGAAGCCCACTTCGTCGGTTGTTGAATTTACTAGAAATAAATAAATTCATATTATATTGGCTGCATTATATAAGAATAGAGAGAAAAGGACCGATTTTCTACTCGAAACCAGTGTAGGCAGGAATGCGGGGATATAACTAGACTTTATGATTTTGACTAATATTGAAGATAAATATCCAGGTACACATGTGAACATTCGGCAACTAGATTTTGTGATTTAGATTAATATTAAACACAGATCTGAGTTGCATTCTACACTGCTGGTACATAAATATACCTACACCAAGACCTGTCTGCCGTTTGCAAACGCACGCCTATAAGAAAAGAGCTGTACTTTATGGAGAGCTATAGTCAGGTTTGTGTTGCTGGTATCATCTCTATGGTAATGTTTGTACAGACGATACGTTGCGACAGCGGGCAACAGTACACTAACTTTAACAAATTTATCACCTGCAATCTGAAACTGCGAGTGAAAAATGGCTGGGCTCAACGGAAGGAAGATGAAAACCAAAGTCTGGTCAGATGCGCAGCGACCTGTCAGGACGGTTGCTGTGGTGTCAACCTGGATGACAATCAAGTGTGTTATCATCATGCCAACTGCACAGAAAGAATCCAATGCTCTCCCAGGGATCTCTCCTTTGAGCTGTATGTAAAGAATCCCTGTCAACACAACGGCGTGTGGAATGAGGTTCGGTTTACCTGTAAATGCACTGGTGGCTGGGTAGGCGACCGTTGTGAGCGCTACCCGCGAAACTGTAAGGAAATGACTTTGTACGGGTATGAAGACGGCTTTCAGGAACGCCTAGTGCTTCACCCAGAGACCTCACCGCAGCCATTTACTGCTCACTGTAGCTACTACAGGGACAGGAAGGAATATTTCACCTACATACTGTACAATACCGGCGAATACGACAACACGATGACCTGGTCAGACTACGTCAATGGGTTCGAGCATGACGACACTAACTATTGGATAGGTCTGCGGAACATAAAACTCCTCAACGATGCAGGCCACACACAAGTTTTTCTCAGAGTTACTGTCAACGTCAGCGGCATTAGCAAGTTACCGTACTACTCCTTCACACAGTTCCGAATGGGATCTGAAGAGATGGGATATGATTTTACTGCGGTGGCTAGTGACAACAATACAGAGGGCGGGGTGTATGGGGACTGTTTGACTCCTGTCCAAGGCGTCCCATTTTCTACAGCTGACCACGACCGAGATCTGAACACCACAGGGAATTGTGCCAGGGAAGGCAAGGCTGGATGGTGGTTCAAAACCTGTGATGTTGGGTGCAATCCTTTAGGTCCGGCATCTCACTGGAGAATGATGCACTTTAACTTAGACCGAAGCATTCTAAAAACTTACATGTATTTTAGAGATGTGTAGAATGCATCATTTCAACTGTGTACTGTGTGTGATACAGTCTGTAGAGTGTTTCATTGTTGATTCAGTGAGTAGATAGTTTCATTTTGAAGTGTCAAAAAACTGTATGATTGCTTCGTTTTCAAATATCGATAAAGTGTGTCTAGTATTTACATTTTATGTTGTTGATAAAATGCGTAGATAAAAACTGAACCGTTGTGGAAGTGTGTAGACTGATTACACTTTAAAGTGTTCAAAAAGTATGTAGATTGCTTACACTGTCATGTTTTACATATTATATATATATTTATATTTTACATATATTTTACACTGTAACAGTGTTGAGACATCATGTAGACATACTGAACTGTTGGCGGAGAGAAGAGTTAAATATGCGCCAGCATGTAGATGTTAAATACACAGTAAACATCTTCAAATAATGAATCTCAACCTTCCTAATGCCCCGACACTTTGATACAGTTCCTCATGTTGTGCTGACCCCCCAACCATAAAATTATTTCACTACTACTTCATAACTTCAGTGAATATGATTTTTTTGATGGTCTTAGGTGACCCCTGTTGAAGGGTCGTTCGACCCTCAAAAGAGTCGCGATCCACAGTTTGTGAACTGCTGTCTGACATAGTTACGTATAAATTACAACGTTTACAATGAGAAAAATGTAAAGTTATTCCAGCTTTACAAAATACAGTTAGAGTTAGGGGTAGGGTTAGGGTTAGGGTATGGTTAGGAGTGGCCGTAGTTTTAAGGAGTACCAATACAGTAACCCAAACCCTAACCCTATTATGACAGCAGTGCATCTATCGCACACAGTAATTACGTCATCGGTTCAGGCTGTCTATCACCAACACACAGTAATTACGTCATCGGTTCACGCTATCACCAACACACAGTAATTACGTCATTTGTGTCTTTCTCTCTGTTCCACTCCGTAATTGCAATGCGGCCAAGGGACTTACTCCGGCGTACTCCATAATAAGTGGCCGTAGTTTTAAGGAGAACCCACAAATCTCCCCCCCCCCCCCTCGATATTGTAATGAAAAATGGCTTTTAGTCTTTTAAAAGTTAATATAGAATTATTAAAGAGTTAAGCAGACAAATGTTGTGTCTACTTCTTTTTCGTTCACCGGCTGTAAGCTCCATCGGAAAGTCCTGGTTGTTCGTACCTTTGGAATTCGGCTTTGTGCCAGGGCCTGAGTTTTAGGTGTACATTCGTTTTACTGGCTAATTTGTGTGCAGTTAGTTGTTTCTTGCCGTTGGGCAAATGCACTCCGGCTTCGAAGGAGACCCACAATTTGTCAAATCCTACTACATGCTTGTTATGGAGGCAGTGGATCTATTCTCGCTTTCCCCACAATGAGAGCCCTGGAACTCAAACGGACAACTGCCACTTACTGCCTTTGTTATACCTTTTTAGCGATGTCTTTGAGCCTGAGGATGTAAGTCCTCGTGGCTTTTGCTGTCACCACAACTGTGCAGGCGAGGACTTGATTCTGCTCCAGACAGAAATAAATCCCCAGTCTTACCGAGGATTCGATCCGGGTCTCCCGCTTGAAAGCCCAGCGTTCTAACCGTTCGGCCAGCCGCTCCTCAAACGGGTAACAAATGTTTCGAACTGGAGTTTGCATTTCAGAAATATAATGCAAGGGAAATAATTAAAACTAACGCGTCCAGAGTTTCGCAAAGTTCAGTTTGTTGTTTCCCTTGAATCCACGAGACTAAATCATTTTTATGTTTTATTTTTAGCGATCAAAATTATATCGTCGGCATATCGCAAGTTTTTCACAAAATGCCGACTAACCGATGTTCCTGGCATACCATGTATGGATCTAATTATTATTTCACAGTACACATTCAATTTAGTCTAAGAACTAATCACTAAGGAAGACAATCAGAACTTCCGAACTGAAATACCAAAGAGGGAATCTAAGAATAAGACGAACCATTACATTTACCTACGTCCCTAAATAGGATGCAATTTTTTTGTTATTTCAAAGACGGCTGTCATTAGTGACCCTAATATAACCTTTACGGGTTGAACAGGGTTTCTGGGACTTACACCCGGGCGATACTAATCCAAATTGTGGCACTTTTCTGTCAGAGGGTGTTTGTCGCTCGGTGTGCCGTCCTCGTGGGGTTCAACGTTACTTACTTACTTACTCACTTAGTCGCTCCTCTTCTACCTTGGGGTGTAGAGGTTTGCCAGAGAGATCGCCAAACGTGTCTATCAGCAGTTTTCTTTCTGGCTTTGTTCCATTCCAGTCCTCTGTCAGTTAGGGACTGTCGGATGTTGTCTTCCCAGCGCACCCTGGGTCGTCCTGGAGGTCTGGTTCCCTGGTTCTTAGCCTCCCATGCTTGCCATGGTGGCCGATTTTCTCCCATTCTGCATACATGTCCAAACCATCGTAACTGTGACTGATCTACTCGGGTTAGTAAGGGCTGGGTATCAAGATCTTGACGTATTGTCTGATTGCGGACTTTGTCCCTTCTTGTCACTTGGACCACCTTTCTCAGGTATCTCATTTCCGAGGCCTGCAGCTGGCTTCTGTGAGCTGTTGTCATTGCCCATGACTCACACCCATAGGTCAGGACTGGTACATAGGTAGAGCGGTAAACAGCCATTTTCGTCCTCTTGCCAATTTCTCTTTTGCTAAGAAACCCTCGGTTTATGGCCTGGAAGAGTCTCCCAGCAGCTGCTTTTCGTGTAGCCAGCTCAGTCTTAATGCCTCCGTTTTGGTCTAGTAAAACTCCAAGGTATTTGAAATGGTTAACCTGCTCCAATGCATACTGTCCCATCATGATCTGGTGTTTCTTCTCCTCTCTTAAGATCACCATGGTTTTAGTTTTGGAGATACTGATGGTCATCCCTTTCTTTTCAAGCTCTTCCTTCCAGACAAGTAAGTTGGACTGAAGGTGTGCCTCTGATTTAGCTATCAGGGCCACATCGTCTGCAAAAGCCAACTCTGATATACAGATTGGTCTCATCTTCCAGTACCCTACAGAGTACTTCTTTGTCTTCTCCTTACAGGTCTTGATGACATCATCCATCATAAGGATGAAGAGGGAAGGTGAGAGAATATCACCTTGTCTAACACCGCTGGCGGTCTTGAATTCTTCTGACTTTTGGTCTGCTGTTCTTACATAATTTCTGCACTTTTTGTAGAAACTCTGTATTGCACTGATCAGGGGTGCTAGGATGTTTTTCCCTGCCAAGCAGTCCCAGAGCTTGTTCCAGGGTACCTTGTCAAATGCCTTTTCCAGATCCAAAAAACATAAGTGCATCTCACTCTTATATTCCAGGGCTTTTTCACTCATCTGTCTCAGTGTAAAGATAAGGTCTTGAGTACTTCGGTTTGCTCTGAAGCCGTATTGGGCCTCGTCCAGCTGTGGCTCTACCAGACTTCTAAGTCTCTGCTCAAGAATTCTAGAGTAACTTTTACCGGGAACGCTGAGGAGGGATATGCCTCTGTGGTTTTCACATTGTCTGTTATCACCTTTTTTAAATATAGGTATAATGATGGAAATCCCCCAATCTTTTGGTATAGTTTTGCTACACCAGGCTGCCTGGAGAACCTTCAGTAGACCATAAATTCTAAATTGTAGGTATCTATATGCCTTCTTTTATAATTTCACAATTTTTAGCCGACATTCCTCGGCACCCAGTTCTATAAATGCTGCTTTAACGCATTGTTAGCCCGACCGGGTGACGTCAGCAGCACGACCCTTTAGCTGGAGCCGGTCGTGGTCAGCCAGTCAACATGGACCAGGCTTATTTCAAATCAATTGCAATGTTTACGTTTGATCTGGTCAAACATCTTCAGTTTTCAAAACAATATATATATATAAAAAGTAAAAGACCATTTTCCTTGCCTTCAGGTGTGTTGGATATATAGAACAATTTTATTAACAAAACTGCACTTGATGGGTGTTGTGGTCAGCATCACGCCCACCGCCTTTACTTCCCAGGACTGTACTTGATACTCTCACAAGGCTAGGTCGACCTAGCAGGGAAGGTCAGTTTAAAAAAAAAGTTTGGCCCCTGTCAGGATCTGAACCCACAACCTTCCGATTGCTTAAACTCTTCTTCGGGTATACTTGCTGTGAAGGACCCTAATTCCACGCCTTCACACAAGGCGTATTGGGCATATAGGGCTAGACCTATTGTTTATAGACTAATCAGCATTCGATGGGGGATGTGATCAACATCACGAGGGTTATCTTTACTTCCAAAGGCTTTACCTGGTACATATTTAAGGCTGGGTCGATATGGGAGCCAAGATCATTGAAAAAAAAGTCCGGCTCCTTCACTACCTGATTCCACGACCCTCGGATTACGAAGCGAGCATCTAGCCACTACACCACTGCAGCTCCCCTATATGTTTGCTGTATAGGTGGAAAACAGACCCCACCCCCCCCCCCCCCCCCAAAAAAAAATATATATATAATGTCCAACTCACCTTTGCAAAATTTGTGTATGTCTTCTTCTTTTTCTTTGTTCACATGGAGTAGAAAGTCTTGGTTATTCGTCCATTTAGATTTTAGCTTTGTGCCAGGGCCGTTTTACTGGTTTATTTATGTGCAGGTGGTTGTTCCTTGAAGTTTGTACAGATGCACTCCGACTTTGAATGAAGCAAATCGACTCCTACGACCTGCTTATTTTGGGAAACGCAGTAGGTCTATTCTTGTTTTCCCCACAATGGGGCTCCGGAACCCACACGGGAGGGATTCGTTTATTTGAACATGATGATGATGACAACGACTACAATAAAAACGCAAAGGGAAGCAATTATGTAAATTCCTTACATGTTAGGAATTCAAAGGTTAATTTTCTTTGAACGTTTAACATGTTCTGAGTGAGTGAAGGCCCCCTCAAGGACATCCACCAAACGATAAACAGCCGGTTACACAAAGTGCCACCATGCGGACGAAGAACACCTGAGAGAGGTCTAAGAAACCCCGTTCTACCGTTAGGTTGTATTAGACCCCCGACTACAGCCGGGGTGGG